TTAGAACTTAAAATAATGTTTATCTCCAGAAAATAAAACCCTTGTTCCTACTCCACCCACTGCCAGTTGTTGGAATTACAATTGAAAAAATAACAAAGTCTAGAGCATGTGTCCTTTTCTGACGTCCTAACACAAGCACACAGTTTGAATAAACACAATTTGTTGGCAGAAATACTCTAGATTTTGATTTAGGGACTTAAAAAACCGTGCAGAAGGACTTTTACCTGTGATGTAACAATCTTGGAAAATTCAAACCAAGTGTTATTTGAGAGCTCAGAGAGAAGGAAATTACTAAATAAGGATTTCAAGCGTAAAACTTTATGACACAGATATGAAAATAGCGTAATTCGGGCCTTTTAAAGTGACATTCTGCATGAAAATACAAAATAAAAGTCCTTTGTAACTAATAACATCTTGTTGTGTGTTCACAGTTAGAGCAGATTCAGAAGCACACGTGGTACCTGTGAGTATTTTTCTCTTGTTTGGCAGATTAACTCTTCTCTTTGGTTGTGTTGTAAATGTGAGTTTTTGTGTCTCAGGGCGGGGAAGAACGAGCCGGAGCCGGAGCAGCCGGTGCCCAGGAAAGTGTCCATTAAAACCCTGTGTGCTGCGGAGGACATCGACCCGGATGTCCTGGAGAGTATGCACTCACTGGGCTGCTTCAGAGACAAGGACAAACTCACCAAAGACCTGCTCTCAGACGAGTAAGAGACAAAACAACGTGTAACTCATGAATACAAAGAATAAAACAATGTACAACCTGTGGAAACATGTGTAACAAACCAGTATTTAGTCCAATAAGGTTCATTTGGTCTTCCCATAATTTTGTTAGGTTCTTTTTTAGAGTTTGTTTTCATACCTGACAGTTTCGACTGCTCACTAGCGCTCTTCTTCAGAGTCATGTTGCTGTGACTTGTCGCTCAGATGATTCAAACAGGTTTTGGCGCCGTCTTCCTACCGGTGGAGGCAGGACGACAGCGCCACCTGCAGTCCCACTTCCTCAGGACAGAATCCCAGGTGTGTGAGAGTAAAAAAGCCCCCTCGTCCCGGTTTATAGTCCCGTGGGCACTTTTCGTGATTTCGATTGCCTCTTTAATCCAGCGACGTGCCGCAGTGCCCACGGGAATATAAACCGGGACGAGTGGGAAGACGCCGCCAAAACCTGTTTAAATCAGCTGAGCCGACACGTCACAACAACGTCACGTGACTCTGAGGAAGGAGGTCAGCCTCATCATCAGAAGACCCTCTAGTCAGAAAATCCATGTTCAGGTCGTGTTTTCAGCATACCACAGATCTTGTAGGGTATTTTCCAAATTTTCACCTCAAAGTTCATAAAGACATTAATTTTTATACGAACTTCCAATTTTGCGAACAAATTGAAAATAAGGCTACGTTCAGACTGCAGGGCTTAACGCTCAATTACGATTTTTTTGTGAAAGCCGATGTTTTCGCGAGGTCGTTCACATTTCCAATTAAATGCGACTTGTATTTGATCTCCAGTGTGAACATTAAACGGCCCGAAAGTGTCCCACATGTGACACTGGAGACACGACGACGTCAACCGCAGCGAGCGTCTCTGTGTTTACTGAAGTTGTCCAAACATGGACGCAGCATCGAGCACCTGGAGATTTTAAAGTTCCTCTCGTACCGGAGCCAGAACATGAACAACTTACTTGTTTTAAAGCGGAGATTGAGAAGGAGAAGGTTTTTGGTCGTGGCGTTTTGTGGTTCAGTCTGTTTAAAGGAACGTGTGGATGTGGAGATGAGCCAAGAGTGATGAGTGGTGATGTGCTTCACTTCAGTGACACAGAGTTCATTAACAATTTTCACCTACTTCAGCGCAGAATAGTGACGTTTGTGTCTTGTTGATAACGTGTAGGTGGATGAATGAGCTTTGGCCGTTCAGACTGAAGTCACATGTCAAAAGATCAGATATGTATCAGTTTCAGGAGCACATATCCAAGTGTCCTGGGTCACATTTGAAAACATCAGATCTGTGTCGGTTCAGACTGTCAATAAAAGATCAGATACAGGAACATAGGGGCCAAAAAAAATCTGATTTGGGTCACTTCAGGCTGCAGTCTGAACGCAGCCTTAGAGGCCTTGATATTTTTAGCTCAGCTCAAAGTATATGTACTATTTAGGCGTGTCATAAAAATGCTCCTGGTCTGGGTATCTCGCCTGCTCGTATTGAAAAGGGCCGACTGTAAGGCATTTTTACCCATTGTCCGGCGTCCATCCGTCCGTCTTAACCATGGCTGGACAAATCTAAACTGTTTGTCTTACAGAGTCCATATGAATGTCTTTAGATACCTGAGGGTAATAGCTCTTTCCAATTCTTGAATTATGTCACAGTGACCTACTTTGTGGATCTTATAGGGCAAAGTTCACTTTTCCAATGCAATTTCAATGGGGAATAGATTTGCTTATATATAATATAAAGGATTTTTACAACAAGATCCTTTTCACTATGCCAAATTATTATCCCTACCATGACCTTTGTCCCATACCAGCCATTTGACCTTGATCCATTTTCCAAGGTCACAGCAGCCATTTAAAGTTTCACATGGTCAAACTTCAAAAGCCAGACACAAATCTAACCCTAATGTCTGGTGCTGTTATTTTTATACACATTTTATTACCATACTAAGGTTGTTTCAGTATGTATGTTTCGTAGATCACTGTGACCTTGACCTTGGCCACAGGATGACAGAATGTTTGCCATTTCAAGACATGGGCTTTCTGACTAGGGGGTCTTCTGATGATAAAGGTGTAACCCTGAGGAAGAGCGAAACTGTCAGATATGAAAACAAACTCTTGGTCTGAAAAAATAACCTAATTACGACGGAGTATAAGGGTCAGATAAAAAAAAAAAAAAAAACATGCTGGCGCTACGAGAATAAAGTCGTAACATTTCAACATTAAAGTCGTAATATTATGAGATTGAAGTCGTAATAAAATCAAAGTCAAAGTGAAAAATGCGGCAGAAGAAGAACCTTGTTTTTCAATATAAAACCAAAAATAAGAAAACCAACAATTTTCTTCATTATTTGCGCCTCCGGACTGAACCAGGACTAAACCAGGACTAAACCAGGACTAAACCAGGACTGAACCAGGACTGAACCAGGACTGAACCAGGACTGAACCAGGACTGAACGAGGTCCGAGACCAGACCCGGACTGAACCAGGACTTAGGACAAGAACTGAGACCAGGACTGAATTGAGACCGGACTGACCAGGACTGAACCAGGACTGAAAACGGTTTAGTCCTGGTTCAGTCCGTATGCGGCGCATTAGTCCCGCATCGCATTTTAAAGTCACGAAAACGCCATTTCCCATTTCCGTGACTTAAACCAGGACTAAACCGTTTTCAGTCCTGGTCCGGTCCCGGTCTCAATCCTGGTCTTTCTGGTTTGGTTCCGGACCTGGTTTAGTCCTGATTCAGTCCTTGTTCAGTCGAATGAACGAATGATACACGGATTCTTCTCCTTTACAAAATGCTCCAAATTCTCCATTCTCCACTCAGACTTTCCGAGCAGCCGATTTTCTCCTAATATTACACTTTATTTTGACTACGACTTTATTCTCGTAAAATTACTACTTTATTCTCGTAAGTTTACGACTTTATTCTCGCAAAAAATCTGACTTTATTCTTGTAAAATTACGTCTTTAATGTCGAAATGTTACGACTTTATTCTCGTATCGCCAGCATCTTTTTTTTTTTTTTTATCTGACCCTTATACTCCGTCGTACCTAATAACATAAACCAGTATTTAAATTATGCAGAAGCCAAACTCACCAAAGACCTTCAGACGAGTAAGGGACAATATATAACTTATGAATACATGCAACAAAACCGTCACGCTGGGGGGAAAAAAAGTTTTAAAATCGCCTGAAACTCAAGAGAAAACACAAAATGAATGTAAACAACACATTGAGTAACAGAGGTTCAGAGTGTGCAGTGCCTACAGTTAGAATCACCCTCCCTCAGCTGCAAATACAGTAAAACTCTGCTCCTTTAGAGACAGAGAGCGACTGAGGAGAGGAACCAGCTGAGGAGGCTCTAACGTCTGTGGAGCGTCTCTGGGGAGGTGTTCAGGGGAGGACCCGGGACACGCTGCAGGGACTGTGTCTCTGGGCTGGTCTGGGAACACCTCTGGAACCTCCTGAAGACCTGGAGGAAAGATGAGTCTGGAAGTATCTGCTCAGGCTGCTCAGGTCTCTGTGACTGAAAAAAAAAAAAAGAAATGGGACAGAACGATGTAGAATGCTCTGCGAATGTGTCAGGTCCAGGGGCGGACTGGAAATCTGTACGTTCTGGAAAAAGTGCGGCCGTGGGCTGATTTGTGGAAGAAAAGTCCAGGGCTGTTTTTTGATCCCAGTCTGCTCCTCGTTTAGGTGAGGTCTACAGGTCTGCAAAAACGTGCACTGCTCATGTGTAAAGCCTTGACGCTCAATTGCGGCGAGATTAACAATGACCCTAAAAGAAACAGTCCAGACTTCAGCAGCCCGTTTGAAACTAAAATGCACCTTCGCTCACTTCGGTCTGGACCTGCCGCTGATTTTTTTCTCGTGTGTTTCAGTGAGAATCAGGAGAAGATGATCTACTTCTTGCTGCTGGACCGAAAAGAGAGATTCCCGAGTCAGGAGGACCAGAACCTGCCGCCCAGAAATGAGATCGGTATTTATCACAGATTCACACGTTCACACTTGTAGAGACTTTGGCCTGGTTTAGTCCTGATATAGCTGTAGCTTGGTCCTGGTTTAGACCTGGTTTAGTTCTGGTCTAGGCTAAGTTAAATCCTGGGTTTAAATCAAGTTTAGTCTCTACTTTGATATGAGACCCCTGAGGTATTTCAGACAAGCCCAAGACAGTTACAAACATCCTTAAATCTCGTCTGTTCAGGAAAAGTTTGCAGTTTGTTCTGGAAAAGTCAGAATTCCCACGTTTACATGAGAGCTTTAATTCCGAATAAAAATGATTTAATTCTGAATAAAAATATATTCCGCTTTAAAAAAGACCATGTAAATACTTAATTCCTAATGAAAAAGATTTTAAAGCCGAATGAATTTGTTTCTCGATCGTGTAAAAGTTTATTCTTCTTAAAAATAATTCCGGTCGATCAGCGCCTGCGCGTTGTTGGTAGGGATGTCCAAAAATATCAAAACATCAATATATATAATTTAATGTGATGATACAGTATCGATATCATGGGCTGCTGTATCAATATATTTTTTGGTGTATTTTTCTAAATTATTTTGTTACAGAGCTACAGTTTTGTTGCTCGTTTATGCGACACATTTGACATTTTGACTGTTTTGATGATTAAAATGTTTGTGTTTCATATGAACTTTGCACAAGAAGACGTGATTTAACAAAGTATCACAGACATGATTTAGCTTTTAATTTTTATTGTACATATTGAATCGGTTTGAAATATATCATATTGAATCGAAAGCTCACTGTATCGGCAACTTCTTAATGATACTAGCCCTACTTGTTTGTTTGTCGCCCTTTTGACACAAACCGGACGATCCGGCTCCATCAGTCCTGGCTTCATACTTTCATCCACTTTCTCCCGGTCGATGTAAAAGGGCCCAGTCAAGCAGAAGTAAACAACAAGACCAAAACATTCAAGTTAATTCATCTGATATAAAAATGTATTGAACAGATACATATGTTCTCTAGTTTATCAAACTGTTGACCTTTTTTCTGTACCATTTTTGGTTCTAAAGTTCCATATGTTTTAAACAGACCATGTATGAAACATGGAACAAAAATTATTTCCCAAATTTCAAAGACCTGAAAATCATGTAAATAAATGGATGTATTTCATCATATCTTGTGTTATTCCATCTTTGAACTGTTGATGAAGGTTCATGATTTAAAAAAAAAAAAATAATAATAATGTAATATTATAATAATGTGATAAAAATTTGCTTGGAAGGACTGACATATTTTATAGAAATAGTTTCTTTCATTTTGAAGTAATATTAAAGTATTCAGAAGAAAAAAGCGACAAATGATGTAAAATCCTGCACCTTCTACTTGTTTGTACAATTTTCCCTCCGTTACTTTTCCCTCCGTTACCATGACCTTTCTTAATAAAAAATCTCATGAGTCAAAAAGTAAGAGGTTTTTCAGCCTAATCTTGTACCATATGGTAGAAAACTATATGAAGCAAATATTCAAACCAGTTTGTTAAGGATATGTAAGTGAGAACCAAGAGTTATCACTGTTTGGATTTATTGCCCAAAAAGTGCTGCATATTTCATTCCCTCCGTTACCAACATGAGTTTTTTTATTTTTGTCAACAACTTGAAAGAATATCACAGGTTTAACTTGACCCTGTTGGAGTGTAACTCTTTCCTACATTCTGATACTTTACTTATTTCAATAGTTCCTCTAGTTTCTGAATAATAAAAATCTGCCCTGTTTCCCTCCGTTACCACTTGACCCAAATATGTTTGTGTCCCTGTCAAATGAAAAACCCAACCCCAGATGCTGAGTGTAATTAAATAAAGACACTCATTCACGCCTTTGTAACAAATAGACTGGACTATTGTAATGCACTATATTCAGGCCTCCCACAATCCTCCATCAACAGGTCACAGTTAATTCAAAATGCTGCTGCCAGACGCTCACCGGTTCCAAAAAGAGAGACCATATTACACCCATCCTCGCCCAACTCCACTGGTCACCTGTTAAATACAGAATTGATTTTAAAATTGTATTATTTGTTTTTAAATCACTTAACTCACTTGCGCCACAATACATCACTGATCTTTTAACCCCCCACAGCCTCTCGGTCTCTCAGGTCAAACTCGCTCAACCTCCTGTCCATCCCACCATCCCGCCTCAAAACCAGGGGAGGTCGAGCCTTCTCTGTTGTTGCCCCCAAGCTTTGGAATTCCCTCCCTCTTCCCCTGAGATCTTGCTCCTCCCTATATCACTTTAAAACCCTCCTAAAAACAAATTTTTTCAAGATGGCATTTAACAGCCCATGAGCTCTATTTTAAACTATTATTTTTATGCATCAAGTAACTCGTCTATGTAACATTTTATATTTGTGTTAGTGTTTTCATTATGTTGTGTTTCATGCTGTAAAGCACTTTGGTGCAACTTGTTATGGTTGTTTTTAAATGTGCTATATAAATAAAATGACATAAAATGACAAAAGACGATTTAAATAATTTTCCATGTAAACCTCAATTCTGAATTATTATTTCCATATAAACTTGAAGGAGAATATTTTAATTCCAAACTATTTAATTCAGACCAATGAATTCAGAATGAAAAGACGTCATGTAAAGGTGGTTACTGTCCTGTACTCTTGTGACCCCAGCAGACCCGCCGAGGAAGCGCGTGGATTCGCCGATGCTGAGTCGTCACGGGAAGCGGCGCCCGGAGAGGAAGTCCATGGAGGTGCTGACGGTGACGGAGGGCGGGTCTCCTGTGCCGGTGCGACGGGCGCTCGACATGGCCAATCACGGGCAGAGGTGAGGGTGATGTCATAGTCGGGCGCTGTGGGAGGAGTCGAAAAGGCTCACGGGAAAAATAAAGTCTGGAGGTTGTGATGTTGTGTTAGTTTAAAGGCTCTGACCTGTGTGTGATGTGACTATAAGAAGATCATTTGTTCCATTACATTTTGAATGTTAAATTCAAAATGCAGAATTTCTCACTTTGAATTTTTTAACTCTGAAAAAAAGATGTTTGAATTATTTTTATTCAGAATTTTAGTTGCTGAAATTTTAAGTATACTTTTTCAGTATACAAAGTTGAAAAAGCTGAGTCCCTCAAAAAGTACAAAGTAATTAAAAGTCTTTAATGCCACATGACAGATAAAGTTAAAATCACACCAACGTGTTCCAGCCCTTCAACCTTCATCAGGGCAAATGTTTGATGAATTGTGGGAAACGTTTAAAGATAAAGAAGCATTTTATGGATCTAAATTATTCCCTGATTGTGGGAAAGATGGACTGGTGTGGGTATTGTTGTGTTTTAGTTTTAGTTTAGTGCAGAAAAGAAGGAGCCACCGTCTGTGTGAATGTTCATGTTTGTTCATGTTTGTCCATGTTTGTTCATGTTTGTTCATGTTTGTTCATGTTTGTTCATGTTTGTTCATGTTTGTTCATGATGAAGGTTGAAGGGCCTGAACTCGTTGGCGTGATTTAAAGTTTATCTGCCATGTGGCATTAAAGACTTTTAATTATTTTGTACTTTTTGAGGGCCTCGTTTTTTTCTATTTCACGATTTTACAGAGTACGAAACAGCATGTGCACAAAATATTTAAGGTTATTAAAGAGGGAGTATTAAACTTCTGTGGGGTTTTAACTGTAACACGTTTAGATCACCACGGCTGTGTCTGAATGTCCACACTGTTCTCTACTCAGAGCAATTTTTTGTCTGAATGTCCAGTTGGTGAAAAAGTAGAGCACTCAAAATGTCCCACAATGCACCTTTTAAAAGTAGTGTGCATCAGTGGGCAGTACAGACCACAATGCACTGGGAGAGTCGGGAAAACAACAGCGTACAGAGACACGTGTTTAACTGGACACAACACGACTGAATGGGAAACGTCTAAAGAACGTTACGTCCACACGAAAACGCTCTGGATTTTTTTTTTTTTTTTTTGAGGGTTGAAAAAAATTCATGTCCACACGTGTCGGATCAATAAATATTCACGTCCAGACGACAACGGAGTGAAAACGATGTAATACATCTGCCACACCTGCATGTGACGCTGTTAACAATGATAATAATATTTAATAATGTTGATTTCATCATCATTTTTTTAAACTTTAAGGTAATTTTGCCGATTTTAGATGTATCCCAGAAATATAGCTGTTTTGTTTTGCACAAGTTAAACATAAGTTTTCAATTTTTAACCATAAGATCTGGATGAGAATTCTTAGAATAACTTGGTCTCAAAATCTTGGTCTCGTCTTGGACTCAACCATGTTTGGACTCAGTCAACATTGATATAAATGTGCCAAAATAACTGTAACATACTAATAAATTTCAAAAATTACAAAGATGGTCTCAGTTTGGTCTTGATGGGCTGTGATTTCTGTCTTGTCTCAATCTCGACCTGATCAGAGGTCTTGGTCTTGTCCTGGTCTCAGGACCCTGTGGTCTCAGACTGGTTTTGGTCTCCATTACTGCGCTCTTGACAACAGCACTAATAATTTACACATCTCACACAAAAAGCAAATAATCCAGTCCCTTTACGGGAAATCAAAAACTCGTGTGATTATTATTAGCCCATAAACACTTGTGTCTGATCTGAGTTTTATTTATGACAGAAATCGAGTTTTATTAGAGTTTAGTCGACTTTATTTTTATCCAGACGCCAAAGTCCCGTGACCCGACTGTAGTGAGCTGCGTGTGGACATTTGGACACAGCCCATGTTACTGTTTGTTGGTTTAAAAATGCTGAATTTGCCCAATAACAACATATTTAAAATGTTTAAATTTGGATTTTGAATCTCTGGGAGCGGGGACGGCCACTTCTCATTTACATTTCTAGCAAGGAAACAACATTATAACTTGGTAGAACACTTCAAAAATTTTATTTAGCAGAATATTCCCTCTTTAATTTTCTTCTTTTAGTTGTTTTGGCCAAAAAATGCTGAAACTATTTGCTTGTAAAATGTTGGAACATGAGGAAGTTCTGCGTGTTAAAGGGATACCACAGCTTTTTGCAGCAGTAGCATGGGATTATTTTATTATTATTTTTTATTTTTAATCTTAAACCGTAGCTGCTGACGTGTCCCTTTAACAGAGAGTGCATGTGTGTCCTGGACTGTTTAAAGTTTGTAGCATGATGGTGAAATGAGTAAGACTTCCTGAATGTGGATCAGTATTAATACAGGATCTGGAAATGTTCCCTGTTTCCCTTGTTTTGTTTTGGTTTTTTTAAATAACAAGGTTAGGGTGACCAGATTTTCAAAATAAAAACTGGAACATCTCTGGTTTGGGTTGGTTGGTAATAATAAAATTGTGACTCGAGTGCGTAATTAAGGAAAATTGTTCTGCACTCAGCTCATTCATGATGAACATGAGTCAGTATAGTCACATTTTCTTTGAGTTTTGGTCATTTTTAATCAGCATTTCAGTATTTTACCTAAACAAATGTCAAATTACGCCTTTCTTTACTAGGGATGCAACGATATGGTTTTCCCACGATTTGATAAGTGTCTTGATTTCGATACGTTTTAAGACACACACACACAAAAAAAAAAGTCTCATGTAATTTTTAGTATGAAATAACCACAGAGTGTATAAAAGAAGTGGACTAAGTGAGTGTGACGTCACCCACAGCGTCGCTCAAACGAGGCTCGAGATGTTCACGGTTACAGGAGCGAATCTGGGGCCAGGATCTATTTCATAAAAAGGATTTTTTTGACGGACAACATAGAGAAAAAAAAATCAGGATCATGTGTCGCAGGTTAATACAAACATTTTAAGACATTTTAAATGACGAGGCTCATTGCAGCAGGTACAGAGAGACGAGCCACAAGATCCTAATGTAAGTCCATTGGAGCCGGAGTCAGAAGGAGCCAGAAGAGCCTCCTGGAGAACTTCCTGTTTGGCACTCGGAGGCTCCAGCGTTAGATCTGTCCACTCATATTTACAGTCTGTGATAATCAACACTATGATGTTAATGAAACATTACATAAGTTAGACACAATACACAGTGTCGGGGAGTAACAGATTACATGTACCAGAGTTAAGTAATCAGAGTACAAATGATGAGTAACTGTATTCAGTTACAGTTACTGTTTCAGTGAGTGGTGATTGGATTACAGTTACTTTGTTGAAATAAATGGATTACACAGAGGTATTTTCCTGTTTTCACATTTTGGGGTAAACCAGGTCTAAACAGGTCTAAAACCAGGACTAAACCAGGACTAAATCAGGATTAAAACAAGGTCTAAACAAGTCTAAACCAGGTCTAAAACCAGGTCTAAACCAGGTCTAAACCAGGTCTAAACTAGGTCTAAACCAGGACTAAACTAAATTAAAACAGGTCTAAACCAGGTCTAAACCAGGTCTAAACTAGTCTAAACCAGGTCTAAACCAGGTCTAAACCAGGTCTAAACCAGGTCTAAAGGTCTAAACTAGGTCTAAACCAGGACTAAACCAGGTCTAAACTAGATCTAAACAAGGTCTAAACTAGATCTAAACCAGGACTAAACCAGGTCTAAACTAGATCTAAACAGATCTAACCAGGTCTAAACTAGATCTAAACAGGTCTAAACTAGATCTAAACCAGGTCTAAAAACCAGGTCTAAACTAGATCTAAACCAGGACTAAACCAGGTCTAAACTAGATCTGAACTTAAACCAGGTCTAAACCAGGACTAAACCAGGATTAAAACAGGATTTAACAGGACTAAATCCTGCTGCGTGAACCGTGTCTCCTCGTCTTTAATACGGTTAAATAAAGTCTGTGCTTTTTTATTTTCTTTTACCAGACAAAACTTCTTATGTGAAGATTTCCTCGTCTCTACAGCAAATCAAGTAATCCAAAGTATTCAGATTACATGACTCACTTCAAGTAATTTAATGGATTTCTGTTACAAACTACATTTTGGGGTGTGTAATCTGTAATCTGTAGGGGATTACATTTTAAAAGTAAACTTCCCAACACTGACAATACATCACAGCACAACTACTGTACAGCTGGAGTTTATATGTGAAGTGTTTAGTTCATTTGGTTCAATGATTTACTGCATTTTGATTCAGTGAAAATAAGAACCGAGGCTATTTTATATTTTATAACAGAGCCAGTCGACTCTTAATATGAGCCGTAGGGGAGTTACACTATCAGACTTTTCCTTTGTTAATGAGGATTTGATGATTTATTTTTCTCCTGAGTGTGTCTCTCCTCTTGCTGCGTTCACACTGTAGACCGTAAATATGATCGGACAGAGTTAACGCCGTAGCCGCCGAGTGCCAAACAGGAAGTGCTCCAGGAGGCTCTTCCGGCTCCTTCTGACTCCGGCTCCAATGGAAGTTACATTTGGATCTTGTGGCTCCTCTCTCTGTACCTGCTGCTGTGAGCCTTGTTGTTTTGGTCTAAAATGTTCGTATTAACTCGCGACACATGATCCTGATCTTTTTTTTTTTGCTATTTTATCTGTCCTAAATGTCATATTCATAACATAAATCCTGGCTCCAGATTGGCTCCTGTAACCATGAGCATCGCAAGCCTCATTTGAGTGGAGCTGAGCGCTGTGGGTGACGTCACACTCACTCAGGCTGCGTTCAGACTGCAGCCTGAAGTGACCCAAATCCGATTTTTTGGCTTCTATGTGACCTGTATCCAATTTTTTAATTTCAGTCTGAACGGCACAGATCCGATTTTTTCAAATGTGACCCAGGACACTTGGATATGTGCTCCTGAAACTGATACATATCTGATCTTTTGACATGTGACTTCAGTCTGAACGGCCAAAGTGCATTCATCCACCTACACGTTATCAACAAGACAC